CTGTCGCTAGAAACTTTTCATGCGTGGGTCTCCGCGACCTGTAACCAGTAAATGCATTTTAAAAATCAGAAAATGAGAAAACCAGACGAAAAGTGTTGTGATACAAGCGATAGATGTGTTTTCGAGTTGATCTTATTTTACATCAGCGAAAGTATGTCTGGAGATATTTCGTTATTTTCTGTATTGAATTTACGTTCTTTCCGAGTTCATTGTTTCAGGAGCTTTACACGGACATTCCCGGCTTCGTTATTCCCGACCACGGATTCTGGAAAAAGGGCTTGCAAGGGGTATTCATGCTTAATTGCTTTATGCTACCTTGACAGTCGAGTATGTCTACACAAACACTTCGGAAAAATGAAAGCTCTGAGTAATAAATATTTATAGGTCAGGCAAGGCAAATTCGCATGAGAAAATCGGTTGGCAGAAATTCACAGATAAAGTAATTAGTCTGATTTCCTTGAATACTACTGGAGTAGTGTTCCTGCTTTGGGGAGGATTCGCACGTAAAAAGGAGTCTCTAGTCGATTTGAAGAAACATGCAGTCATTAAGGTACTGTTCAGAGTTTTAGGTGATTGTTAGCGTCCAAAAGTGAAACCGTTCAGACGGCTCATCCTTCTCCCCTAAGTGCGACCAAGTGGTTCGGATGCAAATGCTTCTCGAAGGCGAACGCTGAACTCACACGCATGGGACGACCAACTATCGACTGGAAGTCGCTTTGATTCAGTTCAGCAAGTCGTCGGTTGTCCTGTCATCCATTTTTCTCCTTTTAATAAGTTCTCAGTCTGTTTTCAAAAGTTAGTAACGCTGCATAACTAACTTTCAAATTTTTCGTGTCTCATTTAAAGTATAATTGAAGAATTTGTCTGATCTCTATAGGTATACGGTAACTAACGAGTCCCAGACTCTCTTGAGTTGTGCATATTAGATGTAGGTTTGCTAATGCACCTTATTTTGGGTTCACTGGGTGAGCTTTTTACGGTTAAATTGTTATTGTCATATTGCTATACTTTTATCTGTCGAAATAGCTTTTTAAAAGGCGGGGTATCCATCCGGGTTGGAATTACCTCATCTCACTCTTTTATCCTCAGTTTTACTGTGAAGTTACTGTAGTGAGTGTAAGCGTAGCTTTTATGCAGTGGAAATTCTGGCTATCTGTCTGCATAAATATGAAAAACGACTCTTGTTCGTGTCTGTTCATTGATGTACTATCATTTGTTCTTATACCTCTTTAACTTACAATTGATATCTTCGCACTTCAGCGGTGCGGCGTCAGAAAGCGTAGAATGAGCCTGCTCGCGGCGTTTTCCACCACTGGTTGTTTTCTGCCTGGACAATCACTATTCGTAGAAAAAGCACTTCAAAGTGCATTCATTCTATGTCTCCTGACACTGTTCAGCCGAATTCGGACGATAGCATACACGTTAAAGTATGTCACCATTTCTCAATTCTTTTGTTAGTAAGTTTTAGTACCCTGACGCTGCTGCGAGCATGGGATCCGCGACTGCTGCCACCAACAGGACTCTTATTTGTAGACGACCTTTTTTCTGCACGGAGTGTCATCGAAAATTCAAAACGAAGGTGAATTCCATTCAGATTATAGTGCAAAATCTCCGTACGAGGGTTTTCTTAGCGTTTTCACCATTTCCGCATCCAGACAAGGTTCTTCCTTCTTTAAAGTCGTCGCAGCAAGCGAATGGAATGCTGCTAGGAAGCTCGAATTAACCCACGGTTTCAGCCCCTGTTTCCCCTCAAAACGGTCTCCTTGGACAGGATCGGAATCTTTTGTCGCCATAAGTCGAAGTTCAACCAGTAACAGAACGGTCGGAAGTGGTCTCTATGAAAAAAGAAACTTCCGGCTATGGCTACAAGCTCGTTTTTTATAAGTGCATCTGCATTTTTAAATTTTCTAGATATTGAATATGAGAGTAGCTTGTCCATGTGTTTCCTGCCGGGTCACAAAAATCCAGCCAGTAGGCATTGAAGTTCCCAACATTATTTTGTACAATCTAAATATATTGCGTGTTCTAGGAAGAACTTTATATTCATGCAGAAGCGTGTATTATGGAAGCGTTCGAAAGTGAAGTCATAGCGGCTTACAGCGATGTTCCGGGTTTGCGTCAGAATTCTGTTGTTCTTGCCGAAGTGCCTCATGACAGCAGCCCTATGCTTCAGAGCTCTGATGCAGGACTGGGAATCACAATTAAGGTACGGAACTTTCCAGATATACAAAGAGCCTTAATCGAAGCAATGTAGTTCGCAGTACAAAAGCAGACTTGCAATCCATGTGACCGCAAAAGTAAGGCATTGTTCAGGATATCCGAGGCGAAACATCACAAAATCTCTTAGTTACTTGACCTGACACTTTGCTGACCGCCAAGTTGATCCAGTTGGTCCTGATGCATGTCCTGATGCGAATGCAGCGCACGCAACCCCGCTTGCCATATGCGGTTAAGTAGATTAGGGAGCGGCGCGCCTTTCAGTGTAGTCAATCTTTAGCACAAATGGATTTCTCCATGGTGTCAAGCTCACAATCTGTCTGCGTAAGCACGCTCTAAATTGGCTTTTTTTGTTGAATTTTTTCAGAAAGTCGCTAGCTGGGGTCGGGTAGGAGTTGAAGCGGCTTCTCTGACATCTACGAATACAGTCAAGGGATGCGCTGCACAGGCATGGAGGAAAATAGGTTCTGTCTATTGGGACCGGTTTTGTAAGTGCTTGTGCGGTGTTTCGACCTTGATTCTATTCGTCAAGAAAAGGCCGTTTAAGGATGGTTGACATTCCCATATATCTGCTGCACAAGAAAATTAAGTCCATAGAATGAATATTGAGAACATATATTTTCCGCCAAAGGGTCGTGATCAACAAAGGCTGCCTCGAAATGTCGATATGATTTATGGATCAACCTAATATTTCCCTAATAGTAATAGTAGCAGTTATCCTACGGTCAAAGGGCGAGCAGCACCCTCAACTCAAAATTTGCACTTCCATGTCCGCGTCAGCGCTTATTGTGTATTCATCACTATTTCATCCACTTTGTTGTCCTATAGGCTTTCCGTTTAGAACTAATCCTCTTTACTTGATTGGTTGTTTGGATACGTCGACTGTGGAGTTTCGAACCACTGAATAAATGGGACTCCAAAATTCAGTAATATGGGGGAAGCTCCTTTGTTAGACTGATGGGACGCTGAACGAAATGTTAGACTCCTACCTGAAGTTTCGTTGAAATTTGCCTAAACATCATACATAGATTAATGCGATTAAAGATCAAATTTCGCGGACACCCGGTTTCCTTTCAATGTTGTAGTTGCACTCGATTTTCAATACAGTCGGATGCGGGGATCAGTCGCATCACATTTAGCGATTTTATCCTCTTAGGCACTTCTCTCACCAACTGAGGGAATGTAGAGTCATGCATGACCGGTGGGTTGATCCGCATGGTAGCTGGTTCAAGATTTGATTCTGTACCGTAATCGGCATCTTCCCACAACATCATCGTACGCGCAAGGCTTTGTTCACAGTCTGCGGACCTGTGTTTCTCCCAGAAGAAACGCTTCGGCGAAAAGCTTCCGCTACGTATCGACTGGCGGTTGGGGAAGAGCCCAGCGGTTGGGCGAAAGGGATTTGAGACGAATCGACGGGCGTTTCGCCGAACCGCGGCGTTTTTCACGGGAGACGTGCAACAGAGTCGTCCGGGGCAGCGCCCGCGGCACGGGGCGCGTCGCGCGGCGAATGACTCAGCAGCTCACTTACGTGCATTTGCTAGCCGATAGCTTTGCGACTGGAGCAAATGATTTACTACAGCGTACATCCGCAACATTTAGCAGGTTTCATCAATGATTGAAAATCTAATGATGTTTTTCTTGATAGTAACACACAATTGTTTGGCGGTTCCATAAACGCAACTTCAGGAAATAAACAGATACAAAAGAAATCAGATAAGGCCGTGATTCTCCCTATGTTTATGTGGTTCACATGATTTGCGCAGTCGCCAGCGTCAATATAATAGACGGATGGCCAAGTTTTTCTGTGAGCTGCTGTAAAAGATGACAAACCAGAGCAAATGTTAAAGACCCCAATGAATTTCGTGCTCTATTGAACTTTTTCATACTCTAACTGAAAACTTAATCGTAACTGTACACAAAACTCGATCCTGGCTGATATCGATATTTGCCTTCCCTTTAATAACCCAATTCAAACCGCCAGAAGCACGCTTCGTCTTCTCGCCGCAAGTATGTCGCAGGCCACGCCCACCAGCTGCCCGGACGATTCTGTTGCTACACACCCGTTTTTCACATTTGCGAAACGCTAGCCCGACCGCCCTGGCGTTTTTCGCCAGCGAAGTCGATACGCATCTATTGTTTTCCGCCCAGCCGCCAAACCGCGTTAGTTCGGCGAAACGAGCGGTTGGCGATTCTCCGATCAATCCGTATTTTTGCTTTTCGCCCATCCGCCATTTCGTCAGGGTCACAGACTGTGAACAGTGCCTAACAGTCTTGTTTGCTGCGGATGTTGGGGCGTGTCACGGGGGATAGGTTTGGCACGGCGCCAGCCACTTTCTTTTTTCGTTCAGCAAACAACAAGACCATCTATCATTCGTAACAGTCGCTTACTACGAGTTATTGTCGCTTACGCGCTTCAACAACTGGTGGATAATGGGATGGCGGCGTGGCAAAATCCATCCACCCTCTATCGTGCAGCGAACACGACTTTAAAACAATAGGAGACCCGAAGTTATGTTTTCATAAGTGCAGGCGTCATCACTTGTTAGCGCTACAGCGTTCTGCGCTACAGCGTTATAGCGCTACCAGCGTCGCGCTACTGCGTCGCGCTACAGCGTCGCGCTACAGCGTCGCGCTACAGCGTCGCGCTACAGCGTAGCGCTACAGCGTCGCGCTACAGCGTCGCGCTACAGCGTAGCGCTACAGCGTCGCGCTACAGCGTCGCTTCACAACGTACTGCAATTTCCAATGTTAGGATGATTAGAGTTGCTTACAGAGAAAAGTGGGAAGTTTATGGAGTTTTCTTGAGAAATTCACGGAAAGGTGAGACTGATACACCTGTAACTATCTGACCATCCTTGACAGTTACTCCATTAGTCACTATTTTTTTTGGTACTGCTTTTAGCGTAACAGTGTCCTTCTGTCCTATCAAGAGCATTTTCTGCAAAAAACACCCAAAGAGTACTCGCGCCACCTAAAAACACGCACGCATGTTTTCTTTACTTTTCGCTTCGCCTTTTTCGCTTTTGACTTTGCTGTGGAGTGTATTCCTTTCCCAATGTTGCTTTTCTTTACTTTTAATTTAATAATATGGTCTCACAGTTGCTTGATGTTGTGCTTTGCTTGATGTCTTGCAATGCTGCCTCGTGTTGATCCCGATTGCGAAATTGTGGTAAGGTAGACAACAGGAGCTCACTATCAGATAAATATGAGAAACAGAGAAGACGGTTGAATACAGAAAGAATGAATACAGAATCCAATGCCGCTTATGGATTATGGAGCGAAATCTGCTTTTCGAATTTGCCCCCAATCTCTGCCTGGATCACAGGAAGAAGATTCATGCCGGTTTTCGAGGCATTACCCAACAAAGCTTTGACAGTTTCTTGTACTTTTTTTGGCCCAGGAGCGTAAAAATGGCCTTATCTCCCACAACAGGCACGCGAACACTGTCTGGTCACCAATGCGTTAACACAAGGCGAACAATAAGTCCCTTTATGGTTCTCCTGTCTCCGGTAAAAAAAAACATTGCGTGCTCGTGTTTTTAGTGATGGCGGGCGAGTTAGGTACTCTTTGGGTGTTTTTTGCAGAAAATGCTCTTAATAGGACAGAAGGACACTGTTACGCTAAAAGCAGTACCAGAAAAATAGTGACTAATGGAGTAACTGTCAAGGATGGTCAGATAGTTTACAGTGGTATCAGTTCAACTTTTTCGCGTGATTTCTCAAGAAAACTCCATAAACCTTCCCACTTTTCTCTGTAAGCAACTCTAATCATCCTAACATTGGAAATTGCAGTACGTTGTGAAGCGGACGCTGTAGCGCTACGCTGTAGCGCGACGCTGTAGCGCTACGCTGTAAGCGCGACGCTGTAGCGCTACGCTGTAGCGCGACGCTGTAGCGCGACGCTGTAGCGCGACGCTGTAGCGCGACGCTGTAGCGCGACGCTGTAGCGCGACGCTGTAGCGCTACAAGTGTGAACGCTGCCTAATTACGCTAATTGATCCACTTGTTTTGCAGAAGTCTAACACTGTAGAACGCGAAGAGTTCGTGACGTTGAAAGTCGGTGAGGAAACACTGGATGGCGGTACAGATGTGGTTGACCAGTTTTCCGAAAGTAAGGACGAGTTGTATCGGTATCGTCCCAAGCTCATCACATATAGCAGGTAGATCATTGTGAACTGCCCTGTTCGCGTGCTCATCGACAATTTGCGTTCACTTTAGCAAAAATGACGACATTAGCCGTGCGCAAATGCTTGAGGGACCAGGTGGATTGAAGCTCGTTGTTTCTGTTGAAAAAGCGAATGAGGTAAGTCGCGGCGATTGGTTTTGATATATTCGGAAGACAAGTCCTACGAATAAGTTATGGGTCGCGGTGCTCATCATGAACCTTAACTCGCTAAGGGGCTCGCTAGTAAAAGAATCATCAAGAACCTGAATAAGGACTCCATCGGCAGCCGCACAATCTAAGTTATACGAGTTGTCGGACTTGCTGAAAAATTGACACCCTGCGGGCCTCTCCGCAACCGCTGCTTTGCAAATCGTTTCCTCGCATCATCCAGTACAGAATGCACTCGACAAAAGCATTGGAGGAATCTTGTTAGAGGAACTGGCTCACGAAAGTCCCGTGAGATCCGGTGAACAACGCGATGGTCAATTTAGGCGACGAAAAACGCACCTTTCTTCGCTAAGGATACTACTTGGTATTGACCGAACAATTGGAATCGCTCAGCTTTATGTGGGGCGAGTGGGGCGATTGAACTCCAGGTCTTAGTATTGTTTGTGTCCCAGCACTGCCCTACAGTCACTCGGGATCTGGCACTATGACGAGCAACGGATGGCCTTCTTGTAGTTGTGTGGTATCATCCATTTGTCGATCTGATTGCCGAGGAACAGGCAATATACACCGACAGCGACGATTTTATTCTCTGTATAGAGCCGCCTGAAAGCCACAGTGTGGGAATCCTTCGCCATGATGATCATCCACTTGCGCCCACGTAACCCCTCATGTAGAACTCGGGCGGCTTCTCATCTGCATTCATACAAAATTGACGATTGTGAGTTTTGGCTCGAGGTCCAAGACCACCCATATTTCATCTAGGACCGGGGATGCGTTTTCGCAGTCGTGAATGACATCTCATGCCGAGAACATTACTGCTCGAGGCATAGAACCAGTACTGCAGTCGTGCTTCTACAAGAGAATTAGATAGTTATGCGCACACCTTCTTGACCGTCCTCAGTTTATTGGACATATCTCGGGCAGCAGTTGCAGCGGGGATGTCAGTCTCGCAGGGAAGCTCGACAAAGGTCAGGCTCTGTGATCAGATATTCAGCGCTTCACTTCATCCACCCTTTTTTTGTGCAGGATGAACATTATGGGGCCATCCACGACAACAAATTTTTCCTTTCTTCCTTCTTCGGGCTCCTGAATCAAACCTTCTACCTTGTGTTTCGAGAATACCATTACACACAACTACTGGTCCGGAGCCGGTCGAATTTGAGGTCGAGCGCACTTCCCTCTTATGACGTCCGATTTGAAAATCGCTGTTTTTCACCACTCGGGCTTCTTTTCAATTTCTCGAGAGCTTCCTCTGTGGGTAGGTTCGCCAAATTTCACAGATACACAGCTGAAGGTACTAGCCTCCAAATGGTATGCTAGCCCTCTTCCCTATCCCCTTTTCTGTCATTCCTCTATATGCCACGGCACTTTTGAATGGGATGACCGAATAAATGCGGCGAGACATTCCGCATACTACTCAGTCGCGAGAGAAGTCTTTGAGTTCTCGCCTCTTGAACATCGTAAACTGTCTCCTTACTTTTTCAAGGACTTGGAATCGCCGCCTTCTCTGAGCATGGAGGAGTCAGCGAACTCACAAAATATTGGCAGCGAAGTTAGCACCTCCGAGCTCGATGGATACTGGGACGACGATGAAATGAATTTGGAGAACGATGAATTGGGCGACAGAGAATTTGGTAAGTAGTGCCAAAAATTGGGTAGTCGACGTAAAAAGGGAGGCGGGGGGGGGTGTTGCGGCCCATCTGGGGATAAGCTTTGATGCAGCTGAAGAAATTTGAGTGGCGGTAGTTCTGCTATAAGAAAGTCCTTGCTGTTCACGACACCAAGTTTCAAATGCATATACAGTCTCGTTCGCTTCGGGGCTGTCAGGCGGGATGGGTTTGACGCTGCTGAGAAAGAAGTCGGTAAGAAAGGAAATATTTTTTAAGCTTCAGTGGGTATAAGTTGAGAAATCAGTACAGTAGTGTGGAAGTAGGGCTCATACAAAAATTTTTTCCGTCTACCAGGCTGATGTTGAAGCAGAAAATTTTCCTGAACTGTATAGTTAATCCATATGGCCAGTTATCTTTCTGGTCTCCGGTCTATTTCTTTCACATCTTTATCTGATGTTTTTCTGTTTTCCAGGGGCTGGAACGTCCTTCAACCCGATGACTACACCTCAGGTCATAGGAGCCCTTGCGAACGCAAACGATGATCCCTATAAACCTAAAATGGAGTGTCCAACATGCGGTCTGGTACGTGTCTTTTGTCGCTCTTATTGCATATCTTTCTGACTCTGCGATGATAGGGGGCTCACAGCCGTTGTACCTTCCTGAGTCTGAGCTCTTTCTACGCCTGTCCGATAATACCGTAATTTGCTTCCAGTTTTTGGAGTATGCCTATTGCCTATTCCTACGTTTATTCGCCTATTACGAAGTGTACACCCATCTTTTGGACCGCCTTACTGCAACCCGATCCTGATTTCATATCTTTACGTCATAATATTTTTTTCAGATTCTCTATCGTCATAATTTTTCTACCCATTATCGAATTCATACTGGAGAACTCCCATTTGCTTGTGAATTTTGTTCAAAACGGTTCAGGTCGGTTAAGTGCAGTTGCTCCTGTTCAGTTAAATCTTGAAAGAGTTCTTGAGAATCTCAACCTTTCGATTGCATTGTCATTCATAACCCGAAATTTTCATATTTCTGCGTTCAGGACAAGTTCATCTTTAAAAGTTCACGTACGAGCTCATACTGGTGAAAAACCATATATTTGTCCATCTTGTGGTTATTCAACTATAACAAAACGAAACCTTGATCGTCATATTGAAAATCATCACGTTCGTACGGGAGGATCTAAAGGTCCAGCAACAAGAAAAAGCAGGTAGACTATGAGAACTTGTTGTTTGTTTATTTTTACCATTCTGCCTTTGAATTGGACTGTTTCAAATCAAATAGGGCGGCTACTAAGAAGATTAGGACATTCCTCGAATCATATTTCACTGTATCAAAATCAAGGCGGATTTCATTAATCGAATGGGTGGGGTGTATGCGATCAGCACCAGAACTGAGCGTCCAGTTCAATTTGAAATTAACAATTTCGTTTGAAGACACATTTGATTCTGTTGTAATGCACACTTCTGCTTAGCTCTCATATCTGAGATAGATGTCCAATAGCTCCAGAGCATGGTGCTTCCTAGCTGAGCACTTACGGTTCGATGAAAGCTCACAATAGATGACGGAGGGTGACTTAGTACTTCATTTAAACATGGCGCAGGATGCGTTTTTTTTGATAGGATATTTCCATTTGAGGCGGTTGCCATCCTGTCTAGTGCTAGACAAAGTACTGAACACAATTTTCCTAAAAGGACAAATCCACAGTCGCCACTACGCCCAAATGAAGTATGCAGCCATGCCTCCAAATATACGGGATATGTGTACGTATTCATTGTTCAGGTACCGAGAAGCTATAGACATGGAATGGGTCGACAACGTTGGATCACATATGGTTTCTCAATACGACAGGAACTATAATGAAAATCCAGAGGTTTGTAGTAATTTCCTGTTCTTCAATTTTGATCGTGGGTTTGTCCTTTTAATTCTTGACCGAGGGTACAATCAAAAGTGTGTTTCATTCAGAATATGTCAGGATGGAATAAGAGCGGTGCTCCAAACACACAAGAATCGTCAACGTTATGACATAGTGGAACCTTATTTATTACATGTTGTCTATCTGTCTGTGATAGTTCGTACCGAATAAAAATTCTGTTCGTCGAATTTCGTGTCATTTACATTCGTTTCGTATTGGCTTTGGTTAATTCCTCTGCAGTACTTTCTTTGGCTTCATCATACAAGAAATAAGGACCCTATTCCAGTAAGGTGCGGGCATGAATATCTATTCATCCCAGAAATCTTTCTCAATATTTAGAAGAAAAAAGCCTTCACGTCTCCTTTTAACAGTCCTTTTTCGCACTATCTGCCCATCCGAAATGAAATGTCTTGTCATGGCATGTCTAGCCTTGATGGTGAAGTTCTGTACCGAAATGCCTCACCTTATTGGAATAGCACCGGGACGAGTTTCTGAACGCTTGTTTTCTGTCTAAGGTGCTGGCAAGACATCCGCAATCACAACAGTAGCTCTCTTTACAGTTCGCTGGATTGGGATGAAAAAGGTGCTATGCGTAGCGGAGAAGAATGATGTGGCGAAAGGAGTTGCTTCGATACTCTCAAAAGGTTGTGATGTTTTGAATGTTTGACGAGGACTGTAGGGTTGCACGTGTTATAGCTCCAGTTCCCTCATCTTTACCCGTGATAATAGCAGAGAAAGGCTCGAAAGTTTCCAACTGCAGTGTGTTACTCATGGCCAGGGCATGCTGGGCAAAAGTTTTGCAAAATACGACCCGCTCCCCTCAAAATTTTCTCTGCTTCGACACTCCTTCTTACCATCTTTCTGTTCACTCAACTTCCTAGCACCTTTCAAGAATTCCCTCCAGATATGTCCAATTTTTCTTGAAAACAGCCGACGAGGAGGTGTGTGTTGTTCGCTGCAGATAACGGGCGTGTCAGTGAGGCAGTCCGGCGCGGGGCTAGCCCCTTCTTCACCACTTTTGATCGGGTAAGCGACAACAAGTAGGGGAAAACCACTGGCACGGAAAACATTGTACAGTCTCGTCGCTTACTGAAGGAAAAAAAACCAGCGGGCGCTGCTCCATCCTCTCCAACGAAGAAGAGTAGCAGCTGTGAAGTGAAACGAGAAAAGTCAACAACCGGAAATGTTTTGCTCAAACAGACGAGATGCTCCTGCTGCTTCTGATCGAAGTTCGCTAGTTGCTAGAAGGCGTTTCTGTGAGCAAACTTGTGGCATGAATGGAGTTGGACGCGCAACTGACTCACTTTCACAATGAGATTGATATCTCTCTTCCGCGGTGAGAAGGGTTAGATTGTTTACGGTAAGAGCAGACCGTTGCAGGAACAAGAACCCACGGGCCGAGCAAGCAGTCACGGAAGGTTATGTGCTTCCGACATATTCGCCGTGCCTGCTGCAGTGCGTGTTATCACCGAAGGGGCGGTTCTTCTTCGACCACCTTCTACACATAAGAGCTCGAAAACTGGAGCAAAACGTTTGCAACGGAGAGATGTGTGTACTGGCAACGCGTAACACATAAAATAAGGTTTGCCAAACCAGCAAAACAGGCTGAGAAGGATTGGAGTGGTTTCCACCTTACAGTCAAATTTTCAAGTTATTCCGCTCCGGTTATTGCATGGTGAACCCTTTTGGCAAAAAAAAACAGGACCCTAAAGCAATGGATAACCAACCCCTCGTTGAACTCGCAATCGTCTAACTTCGTTTTCAATTGAAGTTATTGTTGTAACAAATAAAAGATGATCAGAGTTGACAAAATCTTTTCGAAGAAATTTTCAAACACTCTAAGGTGCGTCCTGCGATAGCCGATGGGCGGAGACCTTCAATTTCTGGCTTCCTCAGGGAGCGCCCCTTCCCTTCAATGTAACTTAACAAAGAATGGACCAACATGGGAAACCCGTTGGTTGTGACCTTTGGACGCTCAGCTCTCGCGTAATGTGCCTACGAAGGCGAACTCTATTTTTTCCTTCGGGGATCCTGATTCTTGCCGTGTGCGAGGTGAATGGGTCCGCAGCTCCAGTAGCGCTCCAGTTTTCCTAGTGAAAAAATAGAGGGGGGGGGGCAGGCTAGATAGTAGTGATGCCTGGGTGCCGTTTCTATACCCAGCCCGTGTTACCGCGACCGTACGCCTAGGCTTAATAAACGCGCTACTTGCCTGCACTCTAAGGTTTAGTTGTTCTCTATCTGTGTATTCGCTGCGAGCGGAGTCCCAAACGGCAGTCGGGTACCCCTATCCTTCAGCCTTGTTTCCGCACGCTCTCAAAATGACGTTGTTACTTCTGTACAGCTGTCCACCCGTTCTTTCAGCAAGTGGCAACGACCGTTCTGAACGGCCCTCCACAGACAAACTGTACACTCACTCCCATGGACAATGGTATTTGCCATTTGTGGGGGTTGAATTTACAATTTTTGCCTGCACCTGTCGAGCCAGCAAACTGGGAGGATGCATCTTATTGTTAGCTGTCGCTTGCTGGCGGAGCTAAGCACTACTTAAAGGCTTACAAAGAACCTACTGCTTGCTCAATGAAGGCAGCTCTTGTCACTGTCATCCCAATTCCCCGTTCTACTTTTACTAACTGAACCTTCCAATCCCTCTTAGTGATATCAAATGGAACCACGTCCGTGTGGTTAGAAGCACTGATCGGTACAATACAAGTCTGAAAATCATTGTACAAATAGCGTTGCTGTGAGGAGCCACTGCTATCTAGAACAGAATTGGAATACATGGCGCATCCCAAAATGGGATTGACCAGTGGCCAATGTTTATACGTTGTCTTTTCGCAGGTCAAATGGTTCGCCGCGAGGGTCGATCGCCCTATAACAAAATATATCAACTGACAGCTGAGATTCTCGGGCAGGTTTGTATTTCTAGTTTTTCGTTCTATTTTTGGCCATTCAGTATAATCCTTACTAATGTAGAGGGCATCTCTATCAGTTACCAGTGTCTGTGGTCATCTCATGGAACACGCTTTTGGACCAGAAATGAAGAACTGGGCGGTAACTTCTCTCGTATTAATTTGTCCGCTATAGAGACATTTTGAGCTATATAAATCTTCTAGACTGTGCCAATAGGTACGTTATTCGATGCTCCGATTTATTCCATAATTCCTGATGGTATGAAAAATATAGCTAGGACGTTATCGTAAGTTCCTCTGGTTTCATTCTCGAAAAAGAACGGGTTCGAAAACTTCATTTAACGTATAATTGGTGTACTACCTTACGGAGAATAATGAAAAACTAGCGTTGAATCAGAACAATGGAGTGGAAGTCGTATACTTCTCAAAAAGAGGATATGAGAATCTATATTAGTATTTTCTGAGCTTGGTTCCAAATGGCTAGTGATCGATACGACACGTTGTGACATTGGTGGCAAAAGAGGCGTTACAAGTGGCGTGATGTGCGCGGCACTCCTTTGAGGGTTAAATGGGTTTGGCATGGGTATACACTCCTTATCCCTGAGCCAGAGTAGGCGTGGCATTTGAACATGGCACGGAATTGGTTACTCGTGGAATATTCCAGTCTGGGACAACTGTCATCTTGTTCTGTGTTGGACAGAGACACGACAACAATTGTGTCAAGAATGAAATACCTCACCAGAAGCATAGACTCCCTCAGGATAAGTCGCAGCATGCGGCCACGCCACCCGATCTCAGGGATTTTGAGTATATGTAGAGTCAACTAGCTATGCCTTCTGGGCGTGTAGTTTCTGTTCCTTGGTCGATTCCCCGATTACCTGGTACATAGAATCTCTGGCTTAGTCTACAGTCACGCAAACTGTACCGTGTTGGCGTCTCAAAGGAGTGACAAGGGCGCTGAAGCCGACGTTTGCCCCAGCAGCCCCACCCACCACTAGACGCACCTGGTGAATGCATTAGTGTTTTTCGTCTCGATCGTCGCTCTAATCGCTCACTGTTTGTCTTTTCCTCTCTTTTCACCTTTCGTTCACTCTCCCACTCGCCCAATGCCCAAAATGAACTGCAAGATTGAGATTCTAATGAGGGCTTTCTCATTGGCTCCGCATTTTCTTCAGTCAGTCGGTTAGCTCCTACAGTTTCATACTCTGAACACTATCAACGCACGACTTTATAGTTTGCTAGTGAGGTGTTCAACCCATTATTTTAACGTCATACCCGTAGGGTTTAGATGTCGCCCTGTCATGTCGCATTGATGTTGTTGATGAGCCTACATTCAAACTTCCATAGAAATTTCTGAATGAAGCTGGAGGCGCATCCCAAAGTGGTCTAATATGAATAGTCTTTTTTTCTTGGTCGTCAATTTCATAGAATGATCAGACTGTTTATCGTTTCAATTTCTCCAGTTTAGCATTTCGTAATAATATCTTATCAGCTGTGCATGTAAACGACTTTTTAGGCTTTATCAGTATCGTATGAGAAGTATCGAAAGGCGAGATATGAAATCGTTTTATTGAGGAAACATTAAACAGTTTGAAAAACCGCAGTGAGGGACTCATAGCTTCTTACGAGCTAGTTTCTATGGAGGGGGGGGGGAGGTGTTTAGAAAGCTTGGGTTAGAACCACGATGCGGTGATGAGCAGAACTCTTTCAAGCTCAACATTCGACATACTGCTCCTATTCCATGTTAAATCAATTAGATTCTGGTGGAAATGCCGCACAGCCGCCCACGTGATATCATTTCTAGTAACAGTCCTCATCATTGCGGACCGGTGGGGCGTGGCAGTGCGGCTGCGTTTGGTGCGGTTTGGCAAAGTCGTTCTGCACCAGTTTTTGAAGCGGGCAAGTGCATTACTGTATTATATCCTTCGTATTACTCGTTTTCTACCACTTTTTGTCGCATACGCGCTGCAACAAAAAAGGCTGAGAACGGCTTCAACAGTGTGCGCACTCCTTCTGGCTGACACGCCCCACCGGTCCGCAATGATGAGAACTGTACGTCGCCGCGTGGTCACTGATGTTTACACTAGGTCTGCGAACGGGTTTCGGGATAGGCAGTTCGACCTAGTGTGCTCTCTATTTGGACACTCGAGCAAGAGTTCGCGCGCAGGGTATTTTTCATGGAGCACCTGGGTGGCATAGGCGACTCACTTGCACCCACTTACTGAAGTGATTTGCAAGTGAGTCGCCTGGCTCACAAGGTCTCCATAAAAAATCAGCACAGGGCTCCTTGCAAATAGGTGTACAGATCTTACTCTCAAACTGAAAGCTGTCCGTTGACATAGACAACAAGCTGCAACTACCGACAGTGCGAACTCGCCGCCTCCCAAAAGCCGAAAGCGGGTTTCTTTAAAAGATGCGTAGAGTGTGCTTGAAAAACCGGCTGCTAACAGTCTTCTAAAGGGAATGCCGCGTTAATGGAGACAAAGACAGGATGAAATCGTTAAACCTGTGGAGTTCAGTCAGCTATGTATTGATTCCTATTAATCGTACCACATCGGAGATCAATGTTTCTATTGACTGAACCTCAGCGGAAAATACAAGTGTAGAGAAGGCGTTTTCATCAAAAAAAATTTAAATATTCTGATCTTGTTTTGGCGCGTGTCGATGAATTGTACCCGCTCCGTGAAGATGGAGAATCGCTCCACTGGTCAAGGAACGTTCCGATCTACTAGGTGAAGTCCCGAAATTTGTAGGAAAATACCGTAATGTCTTCTTTGTAGATTTTTTTAGGCAGTTTTACTTACTTGAAGGTCCAGTACACGCTGATGGTGCGGGCGGAGACAGTCTGCCACTCCTGCTTTCCTTCATTGCTGGTGTCACTTATTTAGAGGAACGGGCGACCTCAGGAGGTAAGACACCGTTACGTAGGGAGTCCGTTTCAGGACGGGAGCCGCTTTTTGAAAACCGGTTTTTGCAATGGTCGTGTACGGATCACGTGCAGAGAAGTACCGACACTGGTGTCATTTTTCCTAGAAACGCCTCTGGAATCGCCAAACAATTGGTGTTGAAACAACGACAGTCCATGGAAACCGACTGTTTTCTTTGAGCCTGAATGGGCTCTAAATGTACTCCGCAAAACTTCGGCAGTTGCTGCCTATAGGCGTCACGCCGTAGCACAAGGTGTACTGGTATCGAATGGGAAAAAGAAGTCGACCAACTGGGGTCTTACACTTGTGCACGTAGGTTTAAGAGTCGACGGCTGTTGGAATGTCGGCTTCCTACAGCAATCGATATGAATAGCTCGCGCCAGGGACGATCGGATGGCCTAGTGGATAGCGTGGAGGATTCTCAAGCAGACAGTGGGGATGGGGGATGATGGTTCGACTCCCCTCGGCTTGCACGTTTTTGCATTTTTTATTTTCCGTTGTTGTCGCTTCCATATAAGTGTGCTGTTAAATGAATTTTACTCGATAATCCTGCATTTATACGACACATCCTACAAATGGTTTATACCCGTCAGTCGGTGCTATTCAGCAATTTCGATTTCACATACCATTAAGCAAGAACTTGAAGTTGAACTTTATATGTTATTCGGTGCCCTGATCACGACTATGGCATTTACTTTCAGCTCCAGTGCCATTTATCTCCAATTTGGAGCCACGTCTTTCTCCCACTGGAACCTCGCTATGTAACATTCGTTCCTTGAGGGACTTGCAGGGTTCTGACGCCAGATTGGGTTGACGTCAAAAATAACTGTCAGAATCGTGATCAGGACCGTCGATCCCCTATATTCAAACTTTCAGCGAAAAAAAAATTTTTTTTTGAACTTTTTCGAGTCTGTGCATTGGAGTTTAGTTCGAGCAGCCACTTGTTCGTACTTTATGGACTGGTTATCGAAACCCTCATTCAGTGGTACGGAGACAAAAAACTAGCAACAACCATGAACGCCATTGGAAAAAAAAGAACAAAATAGTCAACATTCCTCACATGGATCCATTAAAAAGTGAAGAATCGGATAATCTCTCCTCTTGGTACGGGACGGACCACATCACCTCGTTGAGGCGAGCCGCCGCACGGAGGGGTCGACATGTCCAGGATGGTTTTCACTTGTTCTGCGGCCACCCATGCCCATGCCAAGTATGAATGGACCTTATGAGCACCAAATCCGCGATACGGCTGCCCCGGGCGGAATTATCAAAGTCATCGCACGTCCATCGCAGCTCAAAGTTGTGGGGTCTCCAAGTCACTCACTGTCGATCAAAGGTTCGGTCTGATCATACAGTCAAAAAAAAAGTCAAACAATTTTTTGGGCGCGAAAAGATTTGCCTATAGGAGCTAATCGATGCCGGTACGGTGTGTCTTAGATCAGCGAATTCTGAACTTGTATTCTTGACGTCAACCCAATCTGGCCTCAGAGATGGCCCCTGCAAAGTCCAACGAATGACATAGCCGATCCAGTGGGAGAAAGACGTGGCTCCAAATTGGAGCCACGTCTTTCTTCGTCTTTCGCGAAAATGGCATAGGAGCTGAAAGTAAATGCCATAGTCGTGATCAGGGCACCGAATAACATATAAATACGTTTTTTTTTAAAGTTCTTGCTTAATGGTATGTGAAATCGAAATTGCTGAATAGCACCGACTACGGGTATAACTATTTAGGATGTGCCTATAAATGGCAGATATCCGAGTAAAATTCATTAACAGACGTATATGGAAGCGACAAACAACGGAAAAATAAAAAAATGCAAACAACTAAGGCCAGAGCGAAGGGCAGTCGAACCCATTCATCTCTCCACCCCAACTGTCTTCTTCGAGAATCCTCCACGCTATCCCACTTAGGCCCACTCCGGGTCGTTGGCGAGCTAATCACTTCGATTGCTTAAGAGGCCCATATCCCAAATACCGTCGGACTCTTAACTACGTGCCACAAAGTAAGAACCCCATTGCGCTGACTTCTTTTCTCCATCGATGACCACGTTACACCCCTTTACTGAAGGACCCATATGGCAGCAACCTGGCCGAAGTTTCGCGAGTAATTTAGAGGCCCATTCAGCCACAAAAACAGTGGTTCCATCGGCTCTCCTCTTTCAACTCCATTTTTTGGCATTCCCAAGAGCCGTACAGCAGCAGGAAAAATGAACACCAGTTTGGTACTCCATGCACGTGACCCCACATCATGCAAAAAACCGTTTTCAAAAAGCGCTCCACGTCCTGAACGACCTCCCTAGTTAGTTGCCTCCTGTCTCCGCCTACGGGGTCAGCGTTAACAGTGCGTTCAGCTGGGCTTGATTGTTTTATCAGTGGATAGGTTTCTGTTGAAGGGAAGAATCAGCGAAGAATGAAGTGCTTGTAATTTGGACGGATTGTGATCGCGAAGGTGAAAGTATTGGAGCAGAGATTGCGAAGGTGTGCTTAGAGAGCAACCGCCGACTAGATATTTATCGTGCTAGGTTTGTGATTTTTTCCCTCGGGAAATCCATTTCCATTTTTTTCAGACGTTTTCTGCGTGAACTACCTGCTTTACTTTTGCTTTTTTTTCAGATTCTCGGAAATCACTCCGCGTGCCATTGAAAACGCTGCACGTCATCTGACAAGGCTGGATCAGAAGATGATCGATGCAGTGGATTGTCGCTCTCAACTGGATCTGCGAATAGGTAGAAGTGACTCGATTGTCCCCGTAGCTAGGTTTTTTCAGTAGCATGGGAAAATTGTTACTTCGGCACTTTCTACAGGGTCGTTCTTAGCGGTAAAAGAATATGCAGAGAGCTGAGCCGCTGGCACTTCTTCCGTTTCTACTTAGTAGGCGGTAAAGAGGAAGGGCGCGCCGATGTGGTGATTAAGTCTCCACCCCTACAGTTAGCGCGGAATGTGCTTTTACGATGGGACCAAAGTGATGTAATAAGGGACGCTGCTAATGACTGCACGGCTTCAGACTGGATCCGCCCTGTCCAACCGATCGTGCCCTCATTCCTTTCCAACATTGACTGGATGAACGCAGCCTGATAAGCGTTCGGACTTCGCGACGGGCGCTTCGGTCGATGCAGCCGAAAGCATGCGCGTCCAACGCGCGATCAAAGCGCTACCGTCGCGGAGTCTGAACGCACGCCTAACGCCCTGAATGTGCGTTAGGCTACGTTCATCCTTTGCGGCAGCGTCCACTAGCGTTCTCGAGCGTCCGGCAGCGTCAGCGACTGGGAAAGTATAGATATCGATCTAGCGTCTGCCAGCGTCTACCAGCGTCACCAGCGTCGGGAGAGGAGAGTCCGGCGGATAGGAGGTAGTCAGACAGCTGGTAGAGAATATGGGTGCGATAGGGAAGGTAAGGCTGGGAGTGACCATATAGTTTGGGATGACCTTATAATTACTTTTTCGCACCTCGGCATACTTGCCAGTGGGATACCCCCAGATTAATTGCTTGCACGCTGACTGGTGACCTCTCACTGCCAGGCTCACTCAAGACAGAATAACGAGATATGAAAAAAACCTCATGTATTGTTATGAAACACCAGTTGGCTGCACGCACACTACTGCGCGCCTGGCGCGAAAAAAAAAATGCGAAATGTTTACCATAGTGAATCGCGATTAATGCTAAGTTTTTTTTCTTTTTCGTATAATTATCGCTGATTCTTTTCTTGATTGTGGTGCAGACCTCACGTGAACTATACCTCTTCCTCCCCCCACGCTCGTTGGTTGGATCGTGGCAGTGAGACAATAGCATGGTGCTGTATACTTGCGTGAATATACGGGTGAAGCCTATATAGAAGTGTAGTGGTAAAAATTAGAGGAAATAAGTTTATCTCTCATATAACGGAGCCCTCAAGTCGATATCAGTCAGTTGTCAGCGCGTAGCATCCATTGACGCCCGACAAAAATTTTATATCGGTAAGTGTGAGAAGAGGGTAAAGCTTTATCTGGCGCCTACATCGGCGCTTGTTATGCGCCTTCTGATACCCATCCAGTAATAACCCTGCCGCGCGTACCACTTCACTAATACCTTCTACTCATTTGGGCCAATTTCTGGCTGGTACTCCAGTGGTTGGTCGACGCTTGAGTTTCAGATTCGCTTCCTCAGATCGTAAATATGTCTCTATGTGTCATGCCCGCATAAGTAGATATTCAGCGGACGACCCCGATTACCGTCACTATGTCATTTATAGGGGGGGATAAACATCCAAGGAATGCTGAACCGGACACGGTTGACTGAATGCGTAATGGCGACCTTTCACCTCAGCAGCCCTGGTATAGATCCATTGTCGGCTACATTGCATAGTCCATCGCACTCGCGGATAACATACATTATGCCAGCCCTCTGTTATTCGTATGGAAGGCACCAACGGCTCACACGAGCGGGTGCAGCGCAAGTATATGACTTGGTGAGCGTCTCTGCCTTTTAAAGAACACCATGTCACTGTTATCAGTTTCCTGCGCACCCCATATTCCATCATCTAGGCGATGTTCGGGATCACCCCACCGGAAGGGTGGGGACGCACGCGTCCGTCCCCCGTATGCGACTTACCAATTCGAACATCTCTCTGGCGGCTGAATAAGAATTCATGGTTTACTCAAAAAAGAACACATCGCACCACACGACGATTCGGCGAACGCAACAAATGAAACGATGTATACACAGTTGGAGATACTCACGTGGCATGGTAGGAAATTCGCTTTAAATGGCTTTCATTATCGTGATTATTAAGCATAGTCCGCTACTTAATGAGAGGTCAGTCAGTCAGCGTGAAAGCAATGAAGTCTGGGGTATCGACCCACTGGAATATTGCAGAGGTCGAAAAGTAAGTATAATAGGGCTCATCTCCCAAATATATTGTGCACCATAGACGTGCCCGGTGCTGCCGGCTATTCGCACCATACCGCGTCGTCTCGAGCGCTCGGTATACGCTGCTGCACGCTGGCAGATACCAGATCGATACCCATATTTCTCAGACCCTCGAGATCCTGCTAGACGCTGGCGAGCGCTGGGAGACGCTGGTGCACGTTGGTAGATGCTGGCAGACGCTAGATCGTGATCTATCTTTCCCAGTCGCTGACGCTGCCGAACGTTCGAGAGCCTAGTGGACGCTGCCGCAAAGTATGCACGCAGCCTTATTATACGATTGCAAAGCGCAAGCTTGATGCCGTTGATTTTACTTAAGTTTCCAGTGTTGGCAGAACCGGGCAATCTCTTGGTAGACCGCAAACGCCCATGGAGAAGCTAAATCAGCTAAATCTGCTTTACTGTTTTTGGTTATCTCACTGGAACGTTTCGAAAACTTTCACCGAACAGAGAACACTATTGGGCAAGTTTCAGTTTTCTTGTGCCTTACGAGGTTGTTAGGTGGAACATTTATTTGAAGGCCTAACGTTTTGATTCAATCGTCGTCTTCAGAGGCCAATGTTCCACTGTTTAAAGGCAGCGTCCGCGTTCAGTTGAGATTTTCCTCTCCCTTCGTGAGCAGGTAGTCAGGTCCGCAGAGGCAACAACTACACCACTTTCGCGGCGCAAAAACGAGTGAGGAGAGCCACGATGCCGTCGTTCTTCTCATTGGCCCAACCTACAATCATTGGCACCGCCCTCCATTCCTAATGGTTATCTGATGGTGCGGTTGTTTCGCTGCTGCTTCTCTCCACGTCGAGTGGTGAGAGTGAGGTGATAAGGGAAAAGCTGATATCAACAAGTGAGAACTCGTGCGACCGCACCTTCTCTTCGCCTTGAGCACGTACAACCTCTTAAGCAAGGGGTTCTATATAGAGCCTTTCCTATGATTTCTTTCTGATTTTTCTTCACTAAGGGTACTTGCTACCTTGTCAACTTGCGACCTTGTCATAAGTGTTTTAGCCGCATAACTCATCAAATTTGAATGGGGACTCAGCTTTCAAGCGGATAGGTCCGCTGCCACACTAGAGCGCTGTTAGTAGGAAAACTAACAGCGCTCTAGTGTGGCAGCGGACCTATCCGCTTAAACGGTGGAACATTGGCCTCTGAAGACGACGATTGAGTCGAAACGTTAGGCCTTTAAATAAATGTTCCACCTAACAACCTCGTAAGGCACAAGAAAACTGAAACACTTACTAACATGCCGAGGTTGCAAGAAGAGAGAAGCTGGAGATTACTATTGGGCAAGGTTTCAGCGTGTTCTTAAAGACACATTTGGTAACTGGATGGGCAAAGAAATGGGTGGGTCATTGCCATTGTGCCCTCCTCACTGGCCCCCTCTGTTTGCCACGGTATAGACGAGGAGATGGAAGCCAGTGAGGAAGGCAAAATGGTCGTGAGTCTCGAACATTTCCCCACCCACCCTCTTACCACAGAATGTGTTTTCAACATCACTCAGATACAGAAAGTTACCGCTTCTCTTTCACATATTCGACACCAAGACCAAGAAGCAGAACATGGGGTTCATGAAGCTCTAAACGCCCTCTGAAGTTGGTCCCTCACTCCGAAGTGACTCTATGCTGTATGTAGTTCTGTATCCAAAGGATTCTAAATTTATATCTCAAGCACGGTTGTTCAAGAACGAGTGAGATCACGAGAAAAAAAAGGAGAGCGAAAACATTCCATTGGTTAAAGACTCATGGTACGCCCAGACACATTGAGGGTGTATGTGACTATCAGCCCCCCAGCTGTCGATGTGTCGTGGTTTCCCCGCCCGAAACTGCACGGGGTTAGAGTACAGGGCCGTGGGAAAGTCTAATTCGTCCATGCTCCGCCCAAAATGCAACTTGCGGCGCAGACTCCCTTATGCTAACAGCCGTCCGCGCGGCGCGTGTCGCGCGCAGCTCTCTTGGCTTTTTGCCAAGTCCTGTAATTGCGCTCTGGAATACAAGTGCAACGCAATTTCTTTATGCGGATAACATTTTTAGGGCTGCAAAATAAGATGATGACGTGGGCCAGAACTCAAAGCAACTGTGCTGCTTCTGCAATGCCCCTCAGAGGCCGCGCATTCCCACAAACATGAAAATAAAAACGCCTAAGCTCCCACTCGTTTAGCTTTAAAGTATTTCCATGGCTTCCATGGCGGAGCCGAATTCGCGCGGATCGCAGAATTTACACGCGATTTTAATTAATTTGCGTTTCCTTAATTTTTTCATTTTTTTATTTACATCTACATTCGTTGTTCTTCATTTCTAGCCTTTGTCATCTTCATCACCTTCTATTCGGACAGCATGAGCAACACCTCAAATGTTATTCGCATCAGGAAATTGCGTTTGCATCGTATTAACACTGAGTGGGCGGTTTTATTTTGATGTTTCTGTGGGAATGCGCGGCCTGCGAGGGCTATTGCAGAAGCAGCACAGTTGCTCTTGAGTTCTAGCCCTCATCATCATCTTCGGTTCGGTTTCAGTTTTGCAGCACCTAAAATGATATCGCATCAGGAAATTGCGTTTTACTTGAACTCCAAAGGGGGGCAACTACAGGCACTTGGCCAAAAAGCCATGTAGTCAGCTGGCGCCGGCACGCGGCCGCGCGAACACGCGCTGCTCAGATTAAAGTGCAGTCCTGCGCGCAAAGTTGCCAGTGTCTTGCGAGCATGACGAATTAGACTTTCCCACGGCCCCTGCTAACACGTGCACTTCGGGAAACCAACGACACGCGACAGCTCCGGGAGGTGATCAGTCCTATAATCATCAACTGTGTTCTGACGCGTACCCACGTGCTCTTTAAGTAGCTACTTTCAGAGCGGGCCCCCCCTTCTATCTCCCCCTGATTACCCGTTTGCAAACTCTGCATTTACGACAACGGTTTGCGAACCTGCTTGCCGTCCCCGATGGTAGGTCCTGCTCTTTCACCTTTGTATGGAACTTTTCTGATTTTATTGATTGTATCTAACTATAAGAGTTTTGGGTAATCGAGTGGTCAGTTATGGTTCATGCCAGTTTCCAACGCCTCGGCTCTTGCTGTAAAGCGTACAAGGCTATCGAGAACATTATCGTGACTGAAATCCTTCTGGAAACTGGCTTGTCGAACATTAAAAGAGACAGAGCAAAAAGGTAGTTTTCTTTCTTGGAAATTGCCTGTCAGCCGGAGCGTCGCGGGCGCGGGGGGGGGCTTGGTGGGAGAGCAGGTTTGCTAGTTCCTTTTGTGGGTTCATGCTTACCAACAAGTAATGCTTTTATGAGACCTGCTGTGGAGCTGCGAAATTGTGGAAGTAAGCCAGAAAAATTCAGGGGTCTTGATAAGGTCTCTCGTATAGCTTCGCTGATTAGCGTTGAGTGCCCCCCCCCTCCACTAAGCCGAACTGCTACTGTAGAACCGTTAGAAACAGAAATCCTATGTCAAGGTTAGATAGAATGCTGTGAAAGAATTTGAGTTCACGTCAGTCCCAACGCGAGGTCTAATCGTGGCTGCATTATCGTACACAGCTTGAGATAGATTTGTTTAAATTCTTTTATCTGCATTCAGGTGGAGTTCTCTTGGGATCGTGTTCGTCTGTTTGACCAGGATATCGTCCAGGTTAGTCTTAGCATCCCGCGAATATCTTCCTCACATGATATCTTTCCTGTAGTGCGATGGATGGCTAGCAGCCCTCGTTATCACTTGAACTCGCTCGGGGCGTGTCACTGGGGCATGCGGTCGGACGCAGCGTCAACCCCCTCCCATCCATTTCATATAACATCTTTGAAGCCGCAGCCTGATCCCGACGGAAAAACCGGCTCGCGCCGCGCGCTAAAACGCACGCTCCGCTGACACGCCTCGAGTGTCTTCAGTGATAATGACTGTATAATTGTAAGCGGCACGCATACGACGCCTTGGTTTGGAGTCAAATTAATGAGCGGCTTTTACTTGGGCCAACGAGAGCTACTGACCCTCATTGTCAAAGCCAACAAGTTGTTATCAGACTCATCTGGGGGGACAAAAATAATGACTTCTGCACTGGCTATCCCAGGAAGTCATTGTAGATGGAAGCGTTCTGGAAGCAACTACGGCTCTGAATAGAGGTAGTCTACGGGTACATTCTAAAAGGGAAGTCAGCGCTGGAAACTTTATTCTTCGACCCTTCCGTTATCATTTCAGATCTTATATGATGATTGTATGGAAGCGAGGGGCGCGAAAATTGAAAGCGTTACGAGTAAACCGACGACAAACTATCGACCGCAAGTATGTTCAACCCTCTTTGCATACTGAGACCTAATTTGTTCCTTTCATAAGGAAGCCATTTAGCCGATGGACACCGTACAACTGGAGAAACTGGCTGTGCGAAAATTGAAGATGAGTGCTAAACAAGCCATGGATATTGCGGAGAAACTCTACAATAAGGGTTATATTTCATACCCAAGGTATTTCTCTTCAACACAAACGATTTGGGGACGGAGGAGGAGCAGGGGGGGCGGGGCTGGGCGTGGCGGTACTGGGGAACGCTCTCTCTGTTCGCCTGGCACTGATCCCCTGAGGCAGAGGATACCATCTTGATGAAAGGACACAGGCGAATAGAAGTCGGCTTGGCTTACAAGGGAACCTCAACAGGTCGATCCGCCCATCTGTAATGAGATGTATTGGGTTGGCACATAAGTAATGGCGTTTTTTTCAATTGGAAACCAAAAGTGAAATGTTTTGCAAGCAAGTTGATATCATCTGATAGGAAACTTCTCGTAGTATAAGAACAGCTTTGGGTGAGGAAATAATTTTTGTAAGTTTTTTAGTCGTTGAAGTTGAAAGTTGAGTCGGCGAAAATCAGCACCTTCGACAGCTGCCTCTATTTCCGTCTATTCAAAGTGGTAAAATCGCTTAAGCTGCTCTATAGATTAGAAGTAGGTTGTGCTAGAAGTTGCAGCAAGGGAATCCTCATAGAACGCTTCAGAACTGATTTCAAGAATTTCAAAGTTGGCAACCTTCAGCTCGCAGGATCACAAGTCATCGCGTCTGTTTCACTTGAAATTTTATGCTAATACTTGAATGTTTCGCTAATGTGTTTTGCATGCTCTGGTAGCAAATTTCGTGCTCTATAACGCTGCAATGAAATTCTGTTTTCCATAGCTGTTTACTTTTTGTTAATTTCAGGTTATTAACAAGGAACGTCAGGTCGGTGAGAATCAGCATTCCCGACTTTTTCTCCCTACCGCTTTCCACGGAAGCTTCAAAGCCCCTGGAGCAGCTCAATAGATTCGCCATGGTTGAGTAAAGCATTGAGTAACAGATTAATATTAGGACGGCTCACAATTGATTTTGAGAAAAGCAAAACCGACAACGTTGACCTTGCAGACATCCGGTGATCCATACCTCACGATTTTTTTTGTTTTCCTGGTTAAATTTCAAGCACAACTTAACTTTACTTCGCTTACAACACTATAAAAAATATAGTTGTTTACGATAAACTAGTCGATAATATATTCTTCAATGTTTCTT